CGAGCTTTCTGGTTGCACGTGGGTGTCAAGTGGCTGTCAAGTGACGCTTTTGTTCACTTTGTTGGTGGTACGCTTCAAGGTTCGAGAATCCTAACGATGTAATGAACACAGCACGTAGCTGGATAGTTGAGCTGGCTGACTTTGGGTGTGCTGCTCTGTGCTGCCTTTTGAGCCAGGTTGTCATCACAGTCCTGCTTAGCTGTATGAGAACTTGGATTGGCACTCTTGACCCAAAGAATTCATGGCTTTGGCGCAGCCACGGATGAAAGATTCGGTCCCGCAAAGCAAGTCTACCGCACCAAATTTACGCAGGTTCCCGCAGAACATATCCTCAAGTAAGACTTTGAGAGGTCATCAGGACTTGTGTGTATGTAACGATTCCGCAAGGTTAGATACACTCAGCTGCCAACAAAGAGCCATGTGCGCAAACGGCGAGCTCGGATTTTTGTTGGGCAGTGCCCTGGCCAATGGAACTCAATCACTCAAGAGAATCTCAACGACTGAAAAGTGACCTTTTCCGTGGATTGCCTTTTTTCTGCTTTCGAGAAGGATTCCAAACTGCGTTTCGATACGTTTTTGATTCTTGAGGGGCGGTCAGTGGTGGCCGGTGGTCCCCCATTGAGGTTACCCAATGAGTTTCGTATGTCATTGAGGTTAAGCCTATGTATCCTCGGTGGCTTCTGGCTGGTTGCGTAGTGCTTTTAGTTCAAGCTGATGGGAAGCCAGGCGTGCTGGGCGACGAGGGTTTCAATATTGGCTTTCCTGCTCGACTGAGCATGTCCAGGGCTAGAGGTTGAAGCTGCTCTGAAAGTCACGTGTTGCAGCTTTCCAGATCGATCCATGTGAGGCTTACGTGCAGGAACTTCTTCGAGATCCAAGCAGCCAGATGTCCTAGGTGCCTCGCCCATGCTTGCGCGCTCGCTGCGTCCAGAACTCCACTTTCGAATGCTCATCATATATTTCATCCATTTTCGCAGGACTAAGCAGGAAGCTGATGTTTCATTGATCGATTTGTAGGTGACTCGATGAAGCAGATGACTTGATGATTTTTTTGAACTTTTGGAGATTGTTTGAGTTCCTGACATGTCCACATCTCCACATCCCTTTCCAGATCTCCCGCGGAACGACAGTGGCATCCCGAGTCTCCAAGGATGCTTGCAGAGGTACCTGTGAGGGCAGATTGGACGCAGATAGAATTGGAGACATAGTTGTCTGACATGACATAGGTCACACGCAAACCATTGCATATCCAGGATTTGAAGCTTTGATGTTGCCTTTTGTTGCGAAGAATTGTAACCATTTCCATCGGAATGGGTTGGTTAAAGTACCTGCCTGCCATTGAAGGGAGTAAGTAGTCTTTGCATCGTCTGACAGAGGTTGACTTCCTTTAAACATCTTTTTGATACTGGCGCATTCACTGTGACATCAGGGCTTGGATGGACGAGGTTGTCGAAACTTGACTTCACGCATTGAAGAGCCATGCGGTTTCCGACGCGACTGTCCGCTTGCCGAACTCCAGGCTCTCGAGCGAGTACTACAGCACCTACCCAGTGGGCGCTCCTCGTGGAGCTCTACCGCTCCCGGCTCCGGGTGGAAGGTGGGCGAAGCGTCGGGCCGCAGACAGCAGCGGGATTCCTTTGAGGCCATCCGACAGACACCGTCGGAAAACGTTGAACCTCTTCACGCGGAGGGTGTCTGTTTTCCGACGCCGCGGGGTTAAGACGGGGTTTCTAAGTAGGGAAAAAAAGGAACAACGAATCATGAACGGACCTGCTGGCAAATCATGATTCGATCCCTCCTTTGCGACCATGCAGTATATGGAGGTTATGTCAGAAATGCTTGTTTATCCGTAGGCACCTCCAGCATTTCTAATCTTGCGGGCAGCCTAAAAGAAGGGGCAACGAATCATGAACGGAGATGCTGGCAAATCATGATTCGATCCCTGCTTTTCGGGAGTGCGCTATGCTCATTAAGTAAGTTTCTACGTAAGTAAGTACGTAAGTAAGTAAGTAAACCCGGTAAGAAGCTATTAGGCAAGCCAATAAGAAGCTACTAGATGAAAAACTAAGTTTCCTAAAAATCCATGAGTCCAACAGATAGTGCGAACGCAGCTTCAAAGAAACGAGCTTCGTGCAAGAATCGTGACCTATTTGGCGTCCGAGCAAGCGAGCACGCTTTTTAGTAGCATGTAGCGAATGCATCCAGTCCTTACTAAATGCATCCAGGCTTAGTTAATAAGTAAGAGGTCGGGCAAAGCAATAAGAAGCTATTGGGTGGCACACAGAAGAAGCCTTCGCATGATCGATTTGTATTTTTGCGAAAGCTCAGCCTTCCGTAGGCGCTTCCGAGTGTGTGTTGTAGGCACGCCAGTCAATTACTTAGAGTGGCGCACCACTGATATACGCATTGCTTGCTTTCTTTTCTTGAGACCTGTAGATCTCTCTTTCTTCTTTACATGACACTCTTCAGACCTGGTCTTCTCCTGCACTCACTCTTCCCAGAGACAAGAAGATTCATGCCGGGGTACAGACTGATGAGGTAGAGGTATGATTGAAAGATCAATCTGGCCACCTTCATCAAGAGGAACGCAATGACAAACTACGGAGGAAAAGCGGGCCAGGCATTTATACTCTTTTTCTCTACGCAAAAGGCCGAACATCTAGAAACCTATATGCGACTCGAGGTGTGCTCGCGGGTTCTCACTAGAGCCTCGCAAGTTCTCTCTTCAAGGCACACATTTTTTAGTCGTGGACAGGCCATGGCCCGTTCTGCCCAAGAGGAGGCAGGAGAATACATCGGAAAAAATATACGGCTAGACAACAGATCTCAATACATAGTTCTTCGAGCTTTCCCTCAGATGCTTGAGTGCTATGTAGCGCTTGGATTCTTTGAGAGTCAGGTTGCAGGCCTGTGAGATCCAGCTTCGAGGTTTGTAAGTGGAAATGCCTTTTTTCTGCTCCCCGCTTGGTTGGGTAGAGTAGTACATAAATGTACACAAGCCATGACAATGGGGGCGGATTAAATCTGTGGAGCCAAGGAAGATGCAGTGCAGAACTCTGTAACAAAAAGGTGATTGGCTTTGGATTACAATTCTGACCACTGAATGTCCAGTTCCGGCCAGGATGCGAATTGGCACGGGAGAGCTCACTTTGCAGGTTCTTTGCTACGCTTTTCCTCCGAGCGCACAGATGTTAGTTCGAGATGCAAGTCAGGAGTAGAAAGCTCACGTTCAGAGACTGTTTTTGCAGACATGGGGTCAGAACGCATGTTGTATTTGCAGCCCCTGCTCACACAAGAGACATAGGTAGTCATAGCGGTGAGTCCGCAATCTCCAGTGCACGATGGAAGGTGAGCTTCCGGCGACTCCAGAGGCCGAGGGCGCTCTAGGCACGCCGCCGGCCCGTGACCGCGACGTTGTCAGGAGTGCTCAGGGCTCTAGCCCAGAAGATGACATGCCGCTGACTCAGCCGACCGGCAACAGTCCAGTCACAGGTAGCGCGCGGTTGAACTTTGAGCTGCGCCTGCGTGAAGTGGCTGCGTCTGACAGTCGACCAGATCCGGTGAGTACGTTGGCAGACCGCCTCCATGGTGTCACAACTCTCGAAGAGCTGTCTGCCATCCTAGAGCCTGCAGACTTGTTTACCAATTGTCAAGACTCCCAAGCTTTGCATAGGACCATCTCGTGCATTTTGACGCAGATAGTGGAGGAGAACCAAGCAGACGTAGGTGAAGTCGGGCAAGATCCCAGGTTTGAGTTGCGGCTGTTGCTCCCAAGCCCGATGTTCCATGCTGTCCGCACAGTCGCAAAGCAACAAGGCTGGTCCGCAGAGGCTTTGTGCCAGGGCCTGATGGCTAACGTTGGGTGGTTGCATAGCGAAGGGGCACGCATCCGCATGTCACCCCAAGAGATGCATCAACGGACCACATGCATCCCAGCTTTTTTCGGAGCCCCGCCGAGTGCCCGTAAGTCAAGCCTTCATCAGTTCCTCACAAGTGAGCTCTTGGGAGGCGACGCCATTCCGGCCCACGCCCAGGCCAGCCAAAGTTTTTGCGGCACTGGTACGTTGCGAGGCCACCGCAACAACCTGTTCAACTTTGGTCGCACAGGCCTATCCAGTAGCGAGGTGACGGAAACATACAAGACCAAGTCTGAGAGTGATGGAGTGCCCGCATCCCAATTTGCTCAGAAAAACCACATCAATAAGTGGTGTCACAGCGAGGCCGATAGATCGATCACCGGAAATCTTCGGGACAACAACATCGTGTACAGTTTCTATCACCTGGTCCACGGACAGGTGCCAGCAACCGTGGAGGTTCTCACTGGTGGCACTGCTGCAGACATTGGTTTTGTGAAGAGGTTCAACGTGGTCTTCACCACGCACATGCCCCAAGACTCTCCCGAGCAGTCAACGCAGGCGAGCTCCAAACTCCTGCACGACTTGATGGCTTGGCTCGCGGCGAGAATGCCGCAGACCGCCAGCACAGAGATTGACATCATTACCTTGAGCCCTTTCGCTCGCCAGTGGGTGCGCGTAGTCCTCGAAGCTGTGAGGGACTTCCTTGACCAGCATGGGGACATTTCGGCCGCATGGACCCAGAAACTCATGTACGCCGACACCGACATTCTCCGGTGGGCAAATTGCGTGAACAAAATGAGGAGCTTCTTGGCTTCGATGTCTCAACTTGATCCCAACCAAGTGGCTGCAAGCGTGGATATCATCGACGTGCAGTACGCGCTGCACTCATGGATCCGACAGCTGGAATTTTTTGCTGCGCTGCAGCGGCATACGAAGTCGTTTCGAAGCTCGCATGGAAGCATGCATGTTGGAGAACTGCGGACCCCAGCAGGGCCGCAGGAGGACGGGCAAGAAGAACAAGAGGTCATGCTGATGAAGTGGATCATCACTGCAACATCAGACACATCAGACACCGTGGTGACCAAGGACCTGAGGAAAATCTTGAAAAACAAACTTAGCCGATTGGGGGGCTGGAAGCGCACCAAGAAACAGCAGGGGGAGGAGTCGCGCCCAGCGAACCCAGAACAAGACACAAAGACCGAGCGCAAACACCATGTCCAGCTGTTGCTTTCAGCTACCAAGCGGCTGAAGCAGGCTGGGTTGATCCAGTGGGCCACGGATGAAGCGCAGCCGAAGGCTGGAGTTGGTGGACACGAAGTTTTGACCTTTCGCAAGAGGCCTTGGTCGGAGATTGTGGGAAATGATGAGGCGACCGGGTGGGTCAGGAAGTTGAAGATTGGCATGGAAAATTTCCCCTGTGTGGACGCATGAAGGGCCGCAGTATGCCATTCACGTCACCAAGGGCGTAGATTATCGCGCTTGCAGAAGGCCAGCGGGCACAACTATGAAAGCCACCATATATGACGTCATAGATGTGTGCATCGTATGCAGATACCTGTTTTCTCATGGGAATGATTCCGGATGGCCCGCAAGCGCAACACCCAGCATCTTTGAGCCTTTGAGGTTCAAATTTTGAAAGTCTGCTGGTGTGCATCTGCGACTGCAGCAGAATATGGAAAAGAAGATAGGACAAATTGCGGTTCGCTTCCAGCATGAGTGTGATTGTGTGACTGGTTTATTATCTATTACAGTAATTTTTCCATGCCGTTGCAGCAGTGCCAGAATATCTTTTTAGCACTGATGGTATTCACTTGCTGATCGTTCGTTAGGCTGCAGCCCCTAGCTCCGGACCAAGGGCGCAGAGACGAGTGCCAGAGTCGATCGACAATCGAGACGCCGGATGCAAGCGCAATATTTCAAGCAGAGCTGATACATATATGTTCACCAACTCCAGCTTTCGGCTGCGCTTCAACCGTGGCCCACTGGATCAGCCCAGCCTGTTGAAAGCAACGCGTGGACATGATGTTTGCGTTCGGTCTTTGTGTCTTGTTCCTCGCGGGGCACGACTCGTTTCTTGGTGCGCTGCCTTGGTTTGTTTTGCAAAATGTTCCTCAGGTCCGTGGTCACTATGGTGCAGTGATGATCCACTTCATCGGCGTGACCTCTTGTTCTTCTTGCCCGTCCTCTTGGAGCCCTGTTGGGGTCCGCAGTCCTGCGCCATGCGTGCCTCCATGGACGCGAGCTTCCATGCGATCTCGCAGGTCAGCCAAAATTTGCAGCTGTCGGATCCATGCAAGTGGGATCCATGATGTCCACACTTGCTTGGGATCAAGATCAAGTTGAGACGTCGCCGCATGAGTTTCTGGGTCCGTGCGGCCGACATGTCCCCATGCTGGTCACGGAAGCCCCTCACAGCTTCAAGGACTATAGGCGCCCAAAAGGACTCAAGAATGTCAATCTCTGTGCTGGGCGCCTGTGGCAGGAGTTTATAGGGTCTTGGGGCCTACGCGTGGTGAAGAAAACGTTGAACCTCTTCAGGCAACCAATGTCTGGAGGTGCAGGCTGTCCGTGAGCCATGTGATAAAAATTGTGGACGGTGTTCTCATCCCGAAGATTTCCGGCAATTGACCGATCGGCCTCACTGTGGCACCCCTGATCCGTTTCATGTTTCTGAGCAAATTGGGAGGCAGACGCCCCATCACTCTCAGACTTGGTCTTGTAAGTTTCCGTCACCTCGCTGCTGTGGCCAAAGTTGAAGAGATGATTGCGATGGCCTCTCAGTATTGAGGAGCTGATGAAGGCTTGACTAGCGGGTGCTTGGGGTCCGTTGACCTTGGGGTGACATGCGGATGCGTGGTCCTTTCGCTATGCAACTGTCCACTCCGTTAAGTGGTGCTTGACGACTGCGTGGACAGTACGGAACATCAGGCTTGGGGACAAAAGCTGCAACTCAAAACTAGGGTCTCGACCGGCTTTAGCTACGTCTGCTTGGTTCTCCTCCAGTATCTACAACAAAACGCGCGAGATGGTCCTACGCAAAGCTAGGGGGTCTGCAACTGGCCAAGATATATAGGTGTGGTGACGTGACAGCTCCCGTGCCGCAGCTTTCTAACTTGGCAGGTCGGAGCGCTGCAGCAAGCCAGATGCAGCGTCGGTCCGACGCGTATCAGGCTGGGTAGGAAATTGCAAGAAGAGAATAGCAGTGTAGTATGTTTCTAGCACAGGGCAATGTCACTGCCTCAGACTTTGTTAGTTCACTTGCAGATCGTTCCTTAAGCTGCAGCTTCTAGCTCGGTATCAAAGGCGCAGAGAGAAGCACCATAGCAATGAACTGAGCCAAATCGACATGTTTCTGGATTTCGAGTCACCAAATTAGGCAAACGCCATTTTTCAAACGGAGCTGAGACGTAGGTGTGGTGACACGGCAGCTCGCATGTCGCAGCCGGACCGCGCGTTGCTTGTGCAGCCGGTATGGGCGCAGCGACTCTTGCAGGGCGAGGTGAATTGCCTGGTGAAGCCGCGTAGCACCAGCGTCAGAGGCTTGGTGTTCCTTGCCGAGGCACGGACAGGGCGAGTGGTGGGCACAGCGCGCCTGACATCAGCTCGTCAGTTGACGCCTGAGCAGATGGCCTCGGAGCCAATTCGACAAGAGGTCATGGAAAGTGGTTTCAAGTCAGCCCATGCATGGTTTCTCGAAAACGTTAGCGGCCTTGATGCCACCTGGGTGATACCTGCGGAAGCCCGGAAAGGATGTGCTCAATGGATACCTCGCTAACGTTGGGAGCCTGCAGCGCCACTGGCTTTGCCGAATCGAACAGTGCGGCCTGCTGCCAGGGCTTGGCCGAAGCGGCTGCCCAGGAAACGGCCATGTGGGTGGACAGAACCAGAACTTCGACCTCGCAGGCATTTCCCCAGGCAACGGTCAAAGCCCAAAAGCAGCAGACAGAGACAAGCTAACCGGTGCCATGCCAATGAGCCAGCAGCTACGCTGGAACAGCCCTTGCAACGGAATGGCTCGGTCATGCCCCTGTCACACCGTTTGGCTGCTGGCAGGACCAGGGATCGACAGCTGCACTTGGCACAGATGCACCTTTTTCATGAGCCTTGCAGACTGCATGAGCCCCAGCGGCCGCAAAGCGGTCTCTTTGCAGAACACGAAGGGAAGCCTGTCTACGTGGTAGGCACATACCTAGACACCAGAAAGAAAAGACTCATGACTGATGTTCTGCCCCTTAGTCAAGGCGAGGATAGCGCTTCATACTCAGCTTTCCGGAAGCAAATTTTCAGCTGTCCGCAGCAGACCCTGCGCAGAGTGGGCCAGGAGGTGTTGGTGCTGGAAAAAAGGAACCTCAGGAAGGGAAGGCTGCTGTTTCGTGTGGAGTCCAGGGTTCATGCCCCCGCGGATGCAAGCGAGCAAGTGGACTCTGAAGGCAGGGCCCCCTGTCTTGATGGCATGCAGGGCTCCTGATGTTTTCCAAAATTATGTGGTACCATGCGTTCCTGTGTTTTGTGTGTCTGGGCTCCCCTTTTGTCGCAGGTTCACGTCAAGGACGCGAGCTGGAGGAGACCGGGCAGTGTGCACCTATACCTCCCTTGGTGGACCCCTGTCAAGCCTCGGAGTGCGAAGCACAAGAAACGGTGCATTTTGCAGGTGTGCAGCCTGCCACGCGGGTCAAGCCTTTGCTCGCAATTCAGCATGGCCCTTGTGGAAAGCATGGCCAGAGGAAAGGCATCGTGGTGCTGCGGAGAAAATGCCACGCGAGCAGGTACATTCTAGATTTGCCGGTGCCCATAGTTTTGGATACTCGGCCATGGCGTTGCCTTGCATGCGGGCTCTACTTTCCTGTCAAGGTCAATGATATACAGAATCGTTTTCCGGGCACTTTGGTTGCTAAGTGCGCGAAGCAAGCCCATGTTTTCTTCACGAAGAGATTCCTGCAACTTATCATTGGCAAATTCGGGGAGACCTTCAACGCCGCCGCGGTCAAACGGTTCATATTAGACCTCTACCTGGCCAATACCATCTACATCAATCACGCGGAGAGGGCTCTATGGGCCATCGATTCCATTCCACGCCTGTCCTCCTTGCGCTTCATGCTGCGGGAAGCCTTGCTATCTTACTTGCCTGGACTAATCCGACATATTGAAGAACATGTCCATGTGTACAGTGGCTCAGCAATACGGGGAGATGGTCACTACAAAGTGGCTGCGCGTATTCGCGTCGCTGACGGAACACCTCCCAGTGTCATATATGCGTGGTGTGGTGTTGATGGGGCTCTGCTCCGCCCGCCTGCTGCCCTGGCAAGCGAGACATGGCCTGTCTTGAAGGAGGACCTGGCCAAATTGATCCCTGATTTGGCGCGCAACAGGAAGCGGGCTGGCCTGCCGGGACAGGCGGTATACCCAGCTTTCCACGCGACAGACACCTATGGAAAACATCGACTCAAATTGCAGTCCTTCTACACCAGCTTGGCAGAGCCGCAGCTGTCGGTGTCCGCCAAGACACCCCAGGCAGAGGCGCAGTCAGCAGAGCCAGCAGAGAAGTACTGCCCTACCTTGCAGCTCGCCCACAATTGAGCAAGTGTGGTCTTGTTACTCAGTCCCTTGTATGTTGCGTGTGTTCTTGTGCTTCCTGGGCGTGTGACCGCAATTAACTCGCAGACTTTGTGTCTCTTCAAGTAAACAATCTGTTCATATAAGACGCAGATTTCTGCGCAGGATCACAGGTGATCCTGCGCACGATTGCTTCGCCTTGCGACGTTTGGTGAGTACAAAATCAACTGATGCCCATGCTTTCCTGAGCGCTCACCGAGACTTGATGGAGAGGTTGAGTTTGCCAAGTCCCCCGCATGCGTCCTATGCCAGTGACAAAAGCTCCATGTGCGAATTGCCGGAGGACATGTTAGCAATGTGGTAACTTTCACGAACCATCTAATATATAGCACATCCATGCCAACGCTTCAATGTAATGATGTTTGGATGTGCCCTGCAGGAAGCCAGGTCAGCATTGCAGCTCCTCATTTCAGATGGTGCGAAGGGTAAGGAGAAATGCGGGCAGAGCACTCTCCAGCAAGTCCACGCCTTTTTGCAGCAACCTTATGTCACAGAAGCGACTACGTGGCAGGAACTGTATGGCCGACAGCCTCCCCGATGTGTCGTCTCTACCCTGCTGCGGGTCCTCGGCAAACAGGATGACCTTCATCCAACCTTACAGAGATGGAACTACAGAAGTAAGAAAGAATTTCGTGTTGAGAGCCGACGCATTTTGCGATGGTGGTCTCGCTGTGTGCGCCACAAGGCTACTTTTAGGAAGCGCATCCTACGAGATCGGCAGAAGGCATTTTGGACGCGCAAAGTATGCGCTGTCAACACCAAAGTTCGGGGTCACTTCAAGCGCATGAGGAAACCATTGCGGGTCGAAGGGTTTTTTGCTTGGAAGCAAGCTGCTGAGGCGACCCGGGCAGCCGCCATCCCAGTCCAGTCTGGGACAATTCCAGTTGAGAGGTACTGGGCTTGCCTGTTGACCTATCTCCCCACATCGTCCCAGTACATTTCTTACAAGTGGTACTCAGTGTTAGCTGGTTTGGCCTTTGTGAAGTACAATTACCATCACTTTGCAGGTAAAGCGCTGTCAGGGATAGCGGAGAGAGACGTAGACGTGCAGAGCAAAATTGAGACAGCGACGATGCTTGCCCGAGTCCTGCACAGTGCTGAGGAGAGCCGGTGCAAGCATTTGAACGCTCTGTTCGATCCTTTCCGGGACGATGAGCATTGCTGATGATGCAGCGGTAACCTCAAATGAGGTTTCCCGGAACGGAGATGACTTTGCTTTGACCAAAAGCTAGATTTGCCTTAATATGAGCAAGGGGAGCTGGATGGCACGTCGATTCCGTTGGTCAACTTGTTTTTGTCGAGAAGAAGCTTCCTCGCCCGGACGCTTTTGTCTAACCGGATGCTTTTAAATTGTTTTCAGATGATGTGACAGGAATCTGCTTTCTTAATGGCTCCAGGCCTTGCCGAGGGATGCTTGCGCCCGTAAGGTCGCCAGCTCAGTTTTGCTACCAGAATTGCTCTAGGTAGCTCAGATGCCCGTGTAAGCCATTTGATAATTTTGCTCTGACGTCGAGCAATTCATTCATGTTCCAGTCGTGGGGTGATGGGTGTTGAACCCGGGGCCCGATTTCATTTAGTGTTGGTGGTGGTTGAGATCCTAGGTGGAGGGTTAATAATTAGCCCAAACATGGGAGAGGAGTGCTCTTGCTTTGGGAGTCAAGATCTTCTTGCCTCAAACATCAGGCTACAGACACCTTGCGGAGAAACAATTTATGCCCAGGCCGTGGTGTCTTGACCCTGGGAGAGTTGGAAAGAGGGATGGCTTTGGCGAACGGCGCCGAACGGTGCGAACACGAGTGGGTGAGGGTTTCGAAAGAGCTTTCTCTTAGGGCCGACGTCTCGTCGAGGCGGCTCATGGAATCGCTACTAGGAGCATTCTTACTAGTAACAAGAAGCTAGTACAAGAAGCTACTAGTAGCGTTGCAAGAAGCTACTGGAGGCATTCATGCCTTCTAGAGTGAGCGTTGTGACACTGATCTGTTGACACAGCGCTCTGAGGAAGCACTTCAACACCGAGGAGGAGTTCCGCGCATTCTTCGGGAATGCGGATGCCAGCCAGAGCTGCTTGGCAGAGGCGCGGGAGATTCGTGGCATCCACAGGGCAGGACAGTTGTCTAAGAGCACGCCCCTGTGCCGTCGATCCGCTGGTGGAGTTGACCACGAGCTTTGGGGAAGCAGATCAGTTTTTGGTCACTTGACCATCCCTCACAATGTGATCTCATATATGGATTGTCTTTGTTGAGATCAATCCTGGCCAAAGCAACCTGTTTTCATGCAACTTCTTAAGTTGTCACTACTAACTCTTGGCTGCTTTGCACCCTTGTTTCAGCCGCTCCTGGCTCGTGCCCAAGTGGCACCCACTGACCTCTGCTTTCCGGTTGCGCCCGAGCAGTTCGACCGGAACCACCGACCCCGGTACGTCGCCAGGCGGTGGCGCAAATCTCGAGCGCGATCGCGTGAGGCAAGGCGCTCCAGGCGCCTTGGCAGTTGAGGCTGGGATGGTGGAGGGTGTCGATTTCGAGAGCTGCCGGATGAAGTTTTTTGGCTGTTTGGATGTTGTTGGCGGTGTTGGAGGTCGGGATGGGGGCGAAGTGATATTGTTTTTTTTCATGAGTTTTCAAGTTTTTTCCATACAATTTCCTAGATTTGATCTGCCTCGATCCGCGCCGACGGCGCGTGCTGCTAGAACTGTGCAGAACACTCAAGCAGAACACTTGCAAAATCGATGGAAATGCCTGCTTGCACATGTCCAAACTGTCCGGATTTTCACGCTTTTAATCAACTCGAGCACCCCAATGGCCGAAACGTTCCCGATGGCTTTCGCAATAAGTGAGGACATGCTCAGACTCGTTTCTCTTCACAAACTCGTTTCTCTTTGCGCGAAGGGACGGTGGTTATACAAACATACTTTGCTGGTTGACATCCCCCCAAATAGACTAACTATTTTTCCTGGTCCTGAGGGTTTCAAATCCTTTGAAACCAGACCGGGTCAAAAGCTGGTGACAGGAAGTTCAGACCGTGTTTTTCTTTGGGAGGTTGGCCGGGTGAAGGTATTCTTTTCGGCAGATGAGGTCCCATCCAGGGTCCTCACGCATTACGTTGAGTATCGCACTTCCTTGACCATGAGGTAAGAAGGACATTAATGGACTTTGCCTTCTGCCACGAGCGGCCGATGTGGGCTGGTCCTTGCGGCCGATGGCAGACTTGCTGAACGTCAAGGCCTTTTCCGTTTTCACGAAGGCATCGGAACCATGTAAAAGCAAAGGAGTTTGTTCTGAGGGACGCGAAAGGATACCCACATTGTATCCCAGGCATCCCAAAGAAGATCCGCACAGTGGTGACAGGTTGAATCAGAAGATGATCTCATGCTTCTTTTTCCTCCCGCAGACGTATCCTTGGCATGGAAGGCTACCTTATATAACTATACAGGTATGTAATCCAGGGATACCCGTGAGTTGCTGGATTAGTTTGCTTGGTATATATATATAGTGTTTTTGGATCAATCATTATGTGCTGAGGTATGTAGGGGGTTCGAGGCGACCCTGTGGATAAGTTAATTTTTTGACCTTTAAGTTATCGATAGATGTTCAATCAATAAATGTTTCCAATGTGTTTTTTGAATCTGGAGAACTATTCCGTGATGTCAGCCTCCTTTCTCAAAACAAGTGGAGGTTTCCAGAGGGGTATGTACGATCTACGGGACCTGCCATTCCTTCGCATTCTTGAGAGGAGCACTGTAGGGTGAAGGTAAGTGTGTAATCTTTGCAGCACCATGTCGCCCCGGTGTTGGAACTCCCTTTTTCGCGCCTGAAGAGCACCCGCAACACCAACAGTGTCAACACCAGGAGGCTCCGGCCTGGTCGTTGCAGAATGCCCTGGTGCTTCTGGCCAAGCATCGGCCTGGCCGACGGTGTCCTGGCCTTCCGTGGCTTGGAGAAAGGCGTCACGGCATCGCTCGCCGGACGGATGGGTGGTTCGGGGCGGAACATTTTCTGCCCAGCCGGGACGAGCGAGACACATGGTCATCATGGTCAAGGTCTACAGAAATCTCAGAAATCTTTTTCTAATCCATGCAAGAGCGGGATGGTTCTCCGCCGAGGCTGGCGAAGGATGGGGAGGAAAAGGGACGAACGAATCATGAACGGAGGTGCTGGCCAATCATGATTCGATCCCTCCTTTTTGAAAATGCTGTATATGGTGGTTATGTCAGAAATGCTTATTTATCCGTAGGCATCTCCAGCATTTCCAATCTTGCGGGCAGCCTAAAAGAAGGGGTAACGAATCATGAACGGAGGTGCTGGCGAATCATGATTCGATCTCTGCTTTGTGAGGGTGTATTAATCCTATCCACCCATTAAAAAACATGCCAGGCCTCCTCTAATAAGGAAACTTCGGTCGCATTTTTTGAAAAAATCGGGGTTCCCTGCCATCCGGGGAGTCCAAAATAGGGTCACCTGGGAAGAGCTTCAAAACCCAAAAGTCACTCAGAAAAGTTTTATATAAAATCCTTCTATTAAACTCATATCAAAAATTCAAAAAACATCAGATCGAAAGGTCTTCCTTTTCCCCTACAAACGATTAGAATAGTGATTCTACATTAAACTAACAATTAAAGCTTTCCTCGGTGGCACGTGCGTTCGCCTGAGTCCATGCTATTGTGAGAAGAAAAACCTGCTGGTGTAAACACGGCCTGTCATGGTGGATATAGACAGGGCGGACAGAGGTGAGCGAGGTGGGTAGTTGCGGTTGTTCTTGGAACCTAATTTAAACAAAAAATCATCCAGGGTTTCTGATATGATTTCAATAGGGGTCCGATTTTAAATAGGTATAGGTACTCGGGATTATATGGTGATCGTGTCACAGTGCCTGACGCTTGCATGCAAGCGTGGAGAGACGTGCTCGCAGATGCTGGTGTGGTGTATGGTCAGCAATGCGTTCCCGTCAAGGGACAGGACAGAATATTCAAGGTCTCTTTCAACTGCTGTTGACCACTCCAGGTCTCAAGACACAGACACAGTTCCAGCAGAACACGCTGGAACTTCTTGCGCAATCTTGTGACCGCTCACGTTGCCATGCCCCGGCAACTGCATTTTCGAGCGCCCTCGCAAGAGGAACTCGTGCAGCTGCGCGACTTGCATGATCGTGGATACTACGAGGCTGCCTTTCGAGCATTCATGGACCCCACGGGTCGTCGATCTTCCAACCGGACGTTGCCACTGGAAACTCAACAGGCAGGCTTCTTGGCAGGCTACATGCTGCTTCGCGAGGCGCTCGATGAGCAGAGGCAAGTCGGCTCCCCGTTGACACACTTGAAGCTCACGTGGACTAACAGTACGGAGCTCGACAACTTAGACCACATTGACCGGTGCTTCATCCAAGAGCTTTTCAAGTGGTTGTTCACACTCCCCCTCGGCCAGATGCAGCTCGCCGTGTGCGAGGTCCCGCGTGACCTTCATCAAGATTCCAAAGATCTGGTGGCCAAGCGTGCTTGTAGGTTGCCAGCAATCGCAGCTGGAATGCAGCTCCACCCGGTGGAAGACAAGTGCTGTGACTCAGCGCTGGGGGAACTGCTGGTGAAGCGCGGTGGAGTTCGTGCCTGGCTTCGGCTGGCCACACTGGCTGGGCGGATCCGAACGGTGCAGGTCGTGCAGTGGGCGCTAGACCACGAGAACTTTCTCCGTAACTGCCAGGAGATCGAGGACTTCACTCAACGCTGCCCGACAGTTGAGATGGTTGGAGAGGTGACCACCGAGTTGAGTTTGTTGAAGCCGAGCAAGCAACAAGTCTTCAACTCGTACTTGTATATGATCTTCTCTGAGCCTGAGTGGCGGCGCTTGGAAGAAGCAGTCCTCATGGGGCTCCATGACCCTGGGACCGTCGTCCAGATCAGTCCTCTGGCCAATGGACTTGCCAGCCTGCATCTCATTGGTGAGTTTGCCCTGAACAACATTCTTCAGTTCTGGCACCGGCTGGCCGGCCCACAACTTCTGGCCTTGAAAGATGCCTTGGACTCTTTTGCCACGAACATGGATGACGACCACACAGCGCCAGAACTCCCCTACCAGACACGATGCTGGATGTCCACCAATACAATTCAGTTCACAACCATGAGCTTCAGCTCTGGTGCGGTCGCGGTGACTAAGCAGTCCCGGCAACACTTCGCTAAGATTGCGCGGCTCTGCCGACGACTTTGGGTTGCGTCTCCAGCCGTGCAGCTGAAATTTCGAAACGGACAGCAGCGTACCCTGCGCGTGCCTCGCACATGGCGCAGCTGGACGACTTTGCAGCGCTCGACTTGTAAAGCTGCTCAGGTCTGGAAAGCCATTTGCACGCAACGCGTGCGCAACTACCGCAAAGTTCGGGCCACGTCCCAACAGAAACTTTGACTTATATACATCCTTTGCCACAAAAACTGCTACCTGCAGTTGTTCTTGCCTTGGCAAGTGAGGGGTGGAATGCTCCAGCGCGCCGCGTCGCATGAAAACTTCATGCGTGCGGCCCCCCCCCTGCTGCAGATTCAACTCTTCTCTGGGACGTCTTCGGGATGTGGGCATTTGCATGCTCACCCCCGCCCTGCTAGCTACCGCAACCAACCCTCGGCCTCAAGTTACATATGCCCAGTCAGTGGATGTCAGTGGATGACCTTCAAGCTTTTCGGGACATTGCTTTCAGTAAAGAGGCCACAACCCAGTCACAAGAAAGCTTGACCAGTTGTTGTGAAACTCAGGGAATTGGTAATACTCTTGTAGCCTCAGCATGAAGAGTTGCCGCGCTCATTACCCATCAAAGATACCCAGCTGGTCTCAGTGAACAGATCTGAAAAACAGGCGACCCAACCTTCCACCCAACTTCTTCGCTTTCTTGACGCCCTGCGAGACATAAGGGTGGAACAGTGGTGGATGCCCTAAGTAAATATATATATATATATATATCGGGAGAGATCGGTCCGGTACATGTGTCCACATTGTTTTGCAGTCATCTACATGCAACGCTGGACATTTCCAGTTTGCGAAGATGATATCCGAAGGGCGTCTCCACCTGACCGCCTCCAACTCTTCGACTGACGTCCCTGCAAATTCTTAGGCGCCGAAACTTTGGGGGTGAAGCTCTGCCGGATGCGGTCGCGGGTATTTGTTCATGCCCATCGCTCTGGCCTCCTGTGCCTGGGCTGCCGGAGATGACTGGTTGGAGGGGTGTTCTGACATATTATGGAGCCATCAGATGATTTGATTGAGGAAAAGGGCCAGTGATGGGGAGACAGAGGAGGTTGAAAAATATTTCTTTTCAGTTTTGTTTCAATGACAACCTTAGGTGCCAGGTGTGCGACAAGATGTGGACAACATAGTGTCAAAGTGGGTCTTGTTTGCATACAGGGTATAGGTTCTCTTGAAGGCGCCAAACGAAGAAATGCGTTTTGCAATGTCCCTGTCCCAATGAGCAACTTGTGGATCCCAAAGTTTCAAGCTCCTTCTCTTCGAATATCCACGGACTGGACGAATCCAAAAGTGACGTGGGAGGGCCTGGTGTCGGTGGGGTTTTCCCATGTCACTTTGTGCTCGTGGGCCGCGAGGTCATGCGAAGCTGCAGGGCGGAACTGATGTTGTGGTTTTAGTTTCCAAAAGTCGCAACGTCCACCCCGATGTTTCGGGATTGTTTTGGAGGATTTGGGTTCGAACATGGCTTAAATGGTCGACCAGAATTTGCGCCATCTACATCAATGCGAGGCCTCTCAAGTTTAAAAAACACGAAGTCAATCAGTTTAATCTGGTAGTCATTGAATTTACCGACATGTTGAGGGAAGAGTCTCATGTGATGAGCTCTTGACTTACCTCGGGGGAACAGTGTGTCACACTGGGTAGGCTCTAGCAAGTTGATAGTTCAGATATTGAGTATTGATGGATGTTCCTGGTCCTACTTTCGAGAAAAGTAGACTCTTTGCACCACCAAAAGCACCCTCCGTAACCCAGCGTTTCCGAGACGTGTCTCAACAGTCGTTCCAAAACCGGGTGGCTGAAAACGCCCAAGCTGGATCCACCGTTTTGGCAGCTCACTGGAACCAAGTGCCGTGTCACTTGAGAAAGCTGGCGCGAAGACATTTCAAGATGGTGCTTCTATATAGCTACTAGTAGCTTCTTGTTACTAGTAGCGATGGTCTCTAACCGAATGGCGTCCTTGTTACTTGCAGTAGTGGCCTCCAACCTACCCCGGGAAGGCCATCTTGCTTTATATCACGCCCATGTTCATGTGTCATGAGATGTACGTCCAGTACCTCCTGAAACCAGTTCATCCACTAGGCTTTGCCGCTTTGTCTCAAAACGGTCAGGTGGGGTAGAAGTGCGCAGCCAAGAAGCACGACGAGCTCGAGAGCAGCGACGCCTTCAAAACACTCAGGACTCGTCCATGTTAAAAAATACGAAGAACGCACGTAGGTCGTACGAGTAAGGGGTCCGTGGTTCAACGCGTTCCACACATTTCCGAGTTTCTGCATCGTGAATCATCCTGAACCCACAGAAGATTTATGAATACTTTGAACAACCCTGAGCCTCATCATCCCACTTCCATAGTAGTTCTGCCCACATGGCCAAATCGCCCGCCAACTCAGGTCACTTTCTTTTTCCCCCCCAGTTCTTCGACTCAAATGCCGACTTCTTCGCATAAAACCACAGGACTTTGTGGGCTGCCTTTGGTGAAGCCGCTCGCCTGTTGCCGTCTCTGGGAGCTATGTCCCTTGACCTCTCACAGGAGAACCTGTGCTATGATCGCACGATTGGAGTGCAGGAAAAGTGGCAAGATGGATGTTTAAAGTAGACTCTCGAGGTGCATAACTCCCCCCCATATGAAGAGGTTCCAAGTCAAGTGGGGGAGTGGTTACCGTTTTAATCAAGAGTCTACATTACTTTCTATGTTCAACAACCAGTAAAATGTCTTGGATATTGCACCTTCCCCGAAATCGATGTCCAGAGGTACTGAAGCCGTGCGAATAGAAAGGATCCTGTGCGGCTTGGCTTTTCACACTGGGATCCTGGTTGTAGGTGAGTTTCGTATCCTCAAGACTACAATAATATACATGACAGATCAAATGAATCCAGGCAGTCCTCCACCACTTCAATTCATATTGATATGGATTGATGGTTTGAGCGTTTAGCTTTAGCCCTTAAAGCATATGAGGGACACACTTCAAGTATACCTTCATGAAGGCAAGTGTTTGCCCACTTCTTGAACCCTTTGACTGCATAGTAAGGATATAACACTTATATAGTAGATCCCTCAAAAAGGGAAACACACAAGCCGTTTGAGATGGATTTTCTTTTGCGTGGGAACAAAAAGGTCTCACGGGTTTGGCCACACCTCAAGCTATGCAACGAATGTGCCACATGTATCTGGCCTGTTGACCTGCACCAACCATAAAAAGCAGGTTTGAGGCACGGGTGGGGCAATGGGTCTTCGACAAACCTCCAACTGGTCCATGCTCTTCTCACTGAGGTATGGCTTCACTGTATTGATGGTGCGCGCCAGCGCGTTCACAGCGGGCAGGGTCCACCACGCAGTGCGCCTGCGCGCGTATCGTGCAAGCGGGATGAAGCAGTGATTTGGTTCTGTAGAGACCAGATATTGCTGGCCACGTGTAATCAACATGCTTTTGAACAGGCGAGAGCCGAGGGCTTCAATTGACGCCAATGTAGGCGCCAAAGATAGTAGAAGTGAGAAAAGCTGACGCTCTCTGTGTTTTAATGGTTGAGCCTCCTGAAGGAGTGAGCTGTGCTCCTTTAGGCGCCATCGCACGAATGCAGGGCCTGAGAAACATCCAGCCGTAAAATGCGGACACAAAGCTGTGCCCTGTCTTTCCTGCGAGACAGAGCCAACAGAGGGTGGAAGCGCTGCAGGAAAAAAAACAATGAAGAACAACGGGGCAAATCGAACGACATTCATCGCGTGCGGCGACTCGAGGGTGAGCTTCACGTGACGCGACCTCCCGTGATGAAGCGATCGTGTTGTGGAGTTGTGGACGGTCGTTCACTGGACAGTCACTTGCAGACACTTGCTCAGGCAGACACTTGCAGTCGCTTGCAGACACTTGCTCAGGCAGCCACTTGCAGCCACTTGCTGAAGTGACAAGTGGCTGCAAGTGGCTGCCTGAGCAAGTGGCTGCAAGTGGCTGCAAGTGGCTGCCAAACCAAATGTCAAAATGTACGTCATTTGCTCGCTCTCTGGATTTTCTGCAAGTGTAGTGGAGTTTTTATGAAGCTCCAGCAAGTTAGGTTCGGGCAGGTAAGCTTGTTGAGTGCTGGGTCCTGCTGCTTTGCCATTTGCTGCCTAAAGCAAACCGAAGGCGGTGGCCAAGTTAGAAACATGAACAACTACCGTTTGGAAAAAGAGGAGTTGAGAGTTTGATGCAAAGCATATTTGGCATAGGCATAGGCTATATAGGGTGGCCACGGCTCATGGCTGCTGTTAACCCCATTCTCACGTTCAACACAAGCCTGTTCAAGTCCGTGCACATAAGAACACTATTGCACACCGTGACCAGAGTACACTTGGCGCCCAATCCTGATCTCTCGTCCAGGGCTGATTGTATTTGCACCTGTGAATAAGACTTCTAAGAGGTATCTAAACGGAGGACTGCAGCTCGAGGATTCCTCCATGAGCGCCATGCCCACGACACGTCAGACCGTGTTTTTGTTGGTGCAGGTGGAGCTCTTCCTTCACATGGACTGCACAGAGGTGTCTCACGTAGGATCCTTCGGAGTCAAAGTCACCAAGTTAACTCGGTCTACTTCGTGTCTACTTCCTGTGGACCAGCACTTTGGCTCAATTATGTACCAAAGTTCTTGAGTAGGATGCATTTTGGTATCTACCTGGGACAACGTTCTACTTCTTTTGGAGGGTTTGACCATGACCAATCTTTGTCCAGACTGCCCGGCAGAAAGCAGCGCGCACGACTTGGTCAGAATCTTGGTGTCCTGCGATGTGGCTTATAACTTATAACACTAGCCGCCCATTGTCTGGTTTCAACAGCCGCTTTTTCAGCATCACTTGTGTTGTTGCGGGCTTTAGTCAGTCACCAGTTGCTTTCAACTTTGAAGGGTGATCGCTGTGATCGCAGCAGCAGCAGCAGCGATCCTGATTGCCATTGTGGTCGCTGTGGTTGTCTGCTTCCCAGCGGTTTGGATTTTGCGTGTGGCATGCATGATCCAGCAGCAATGAGGTGTGCAAACGGAGGAGAAGGAGAGTACCTACTTTGCTGAGGCAGACATCCGCCTGCATTGCGTTTTAATGGGAGTTATTGGCAAGAATGGTTTTCTTCTGTTCTTTAGACCTGCTTTCTTTCAGAAAGACCTTGCAAATGACATGCGTGGATGTTTGCTGTGCTTCATCTTGTTGAAGACACACGGCGAGGTCCAATGTGAGCTTGCAGCCCACGCGGTGAGAAACATGAGCGCGACACAGACACTGCTCATACGTTGCAATCGAGCCCTGAACAGCCTGAAGCTTCTTTTGGGAGATGTACTGGGAGATGAATCTGATGGGCCCTCCCGTCGTAAATTATTCCAGGGTAGGGGTCACCCACAGGAATAATTTCCAGGAATAATTTTGCAAGATCCTGAAGTTGAGGTGGGTGGATGGTACCCTGGAATAATATGGTCGCAATTGACTTTCAAGGCGTGAGAAAAGAATGATGTCATAACTTCAAACAGCTACATCACATGCTCACATTTGCAGCTGGCTCAAATATCCAAAAACGATCACAATCATGGGGGAATAGGAAAGGTGTCACAACGATCCTTATGACGCCTTTCGTTCTTAAACCTTCAACCTCTCTTGCCAGAAAAGAGAGCTGTCAGATCTGTGGAACTGCGAAAAACGTGGCTCGGGCCATCTGGGGCCAAATTCTCCCCATTGCGTAGGGGTGATCGCATCAAAGCCGCCCTAGACTTAAATCTGCTGCCTAGCAGCCTGTGACTTCCAGGATGGCGAGCCCATGCCAGAAGCCAGGCCCAGAAACCAAACTTGGGAACTGTCAGATCAAGGCTCCTAGGTCATAGGCGCCCCAGCCAAATCTTTTCTTGTGGACTCTGAAGCCTGAAGCTGTGAGATGTGTGACTTGAAGCTGTAGATTGTGTAAGATATGTGCCCTAAAAGGGCAAGTTTGCCTCCTGTTGTAAGTCACTGCTCAGTAGACAGCCAACTGCTAAACTTTTCCAGGGTCTATCACATCAAGCCCACCCCTGGGATTATTTTCTTTCCTTGACTAAAATAATCCCAGGGGTGGGTTTGATGTGATAGACCCTGGAATGATTTAGCAATCGGCTGTCTACTGAGCAGTGACCTACAACAGGAGGCAAACTTGCCCTTTGGGGCGCATATCCTACACATCTACAGCTTCAAGTCACACATCTCACAGCTTCAGGCTTCAGAGTCCACAAGAAAAGATTTGGCTGGGGCGCCTATGACCTAGGAGCCTTGATCTGACAGTTCCCAAGTTTGGTTTCTGGGCCTGGCTTCTGGCGTGGGCTCGCCATCCTGGAAGTCACAAGCTTCTAGACAGCAGATTTAAGTCTAGGGTTGGTTTTATGTGATTGGGTCTACTCCCAAGTTTGGTTTCTGGGTCTGGTTTCTGGCGTGGGCTTGCCGTCCTGGAAGTCACGTGGGGGATTGCTGATCTGAAAAGTTCAGCCGTTTTGCCGCGTGTTGGATCGCTTGATGCGACCGGAAACGAAGAGGAATCAAAGCGCAGAAGATCACTGTAGTGAAACTGAACTTGTGAAACTGAAACTGAACTTGTAGACTGCAAGGCAGCCATGGCTGTAAAGTGCCGTAAATTATTCCTGAAAGGTGTTCACATATGGATTAGTTTTTGGCCAGGTGTAGGTCCACTACCACTGAAGAATTAAAAACATATTATGGGGCCCCATCCACCCGAGGGCCGCAGACGGCAGGCCTCATTGTATCTGCGCGTTTCTCCAAGGAGTGCAACGTAGTGAAATCATGCTGCAATTCCATGAGCCGTTTTGGCTGCCTGTGCTTGCTTCAGCTTTCCGAGCACCCAGTGCTGAGTGCCAACCGCTCAAAGAAAGGTTTCTAGTTTGCAGACATCGTTTGAAGCGTCTAAGACCTGAACGAATCCCCTTCCATTTCATTTGAAGCTGGATTTGAGCCATGATAAATAGACTAAACGAATGGCAAGCTCATAATATCACCCGATCCGAGCTCCTCTTTCCAGCACACAATTTGCAATGTTTCAGAAAAATCAACGCGATCAAACCAATCGAATCAGTTTCAATGAGTTGTGGCGCTCCCCCATGGGCTGCAGACTTGCCCTGGAGGCGGTGC